CACTGTACGCAATGTTCCGCCCACGGTAAGCTATTTCGTCTCATCTCGTACCCAGTAAGCAGCCTCGGCTCGACACAACGACCACGCAATGGCGACGCCATTAACGAGTTCGGCTTGTAACGAGGATGCAGCAGGATCGGTCGGGCTTCGAGGCGCCTCATACCTCAATTCCGAAGCGCCATCGGCGGAATGGGCATCCGAAGCGGCAACGTTTGTCGAAAGCGCTTGGAATGGCTGGAATGTTACGAATTTATGTGATAGTAGTAGGGCAGATTACGGGTAACAAAATACGGTAGCAGGCAAACGGACAGCTGCTCAGGAGAAGCTTTTGAACAGATACGGACCGCCTGACTCCTCAGATAAGTAGTACGACATTCTGATGGTCTAGATCGCCAGTAATGCTGTAAAAAGTATCAATACCCACACGGAATAGATAACGCGATAATGTGGTCTATGCTACTAATGCCACCGAGTACTGAATATTGAAACGAAAGCCGTGGCGAGATTCGTGCGGAGCGGAGAGGCGGAACGACGCGGCGGACAGAAAATAAGGGCTAGTCGCAGCGCAGTTGCTGTCCTTCAGTGTTCTTGGCTTCACAGTCAACAGTCGGGAATTCTGACTGGACCGAAAAGGACCAGTTTGTATGATAGTGCGCTACCAACAAAGATACTGGCATGGTGATATCCTCGTTACAAGCATTGCGTTAGTGCTATGACTCGGGTAGAACACATGATATGATTATGTAGGGTGTCTCGGAAAGTTGCGAAGTTGCGACCAGGGTGGGTTGTTGCGAATTTGGTCATTTTTGGGTTGCGTAGCAACCCTATAATTTGGTAGCACTTTTCGGTCGACTCAAATGAACAGTGCAGTTTTTGTCATTTTCCCAACGTTTAAAGCCCTCGTTTTAACATTTTCAAAACGAGTGCTCCAAGGTCGTGGACATGACGCAAGCACTGATCACAAGAGTCCCCAAAAAATGAAATCAAATGTAACCTTGCATTCCACAGTCGTCGATAAATACGGCGAATGGAACAATCGGTCGTCACGAAACACAATTGACGAGACACACCCACTGGACGTGAACGCAAATCATGTGCAGTGCATCCACTGAACACGTGCTAAAACAAAACAACTGAGAGTGAATGCTAAAATGCATCGGTGCTACAAAAGAGATGGTTCCGGTATGCTAAAGCGAGCCGCGCTGCCCCAACAGCGATCCCCGCCTCACATGCAGACCCGACACATTTTAACATCACACCTCATTTGCGTAACATGTGCAAAAACAACACAAACAACTGCTAGTGAATGCTAAAATGCATCGGTGCTACACCAGAGGTGGTTCCGGTATGCTAAGGCGAGCAACGCTGCCCCAACAACGATCCCCACCTCAAATGCAGACCCGACACATTTAACATCACACATCAGTTGCATACAAGAGGCACTTTTGCACACGCCTCGAGACGGACAGGTGCAAACAGACAAACGCACATATCTTACACATTCTCACACGCGCACGTACACGCAGGCATAAGCACATGCACAACACACACTGACACACACACAAACAACCACAGATAGATACACAGACCGTAATAAAGAGGCAACCGTCATGAATAAAATTCAGAAATGCAGAAATGATTGCTAGCCTATCCCACCCTCCCCTCCCTACAACCCTCCCTCCCTCCTTCCCTCATCTCCATCCCACTCCCTCCCTCATCTCCCTTCTCAGCTAATGCGCCAGCACAAAACAAAATCAGAGAAGTCAACACACACACGCTTTGCACAAAGCAAAATCAAAGAAGTCAACACACACACGCTCTGCACAAAGCAAAATCAGAGAAGTCAACACACACACGTCCTGCACAAAGCAAAATTAGAGAAGTCAACACACGCACGCCCTGCACAAAGCAAAATCAGAGAAGTCAACACACACACGCCCTGCACAAAGCAAAATAAGAGAAGTCAACACACACACGCCCTGCACAAAGCAAAATCAGAGAAGTTAACACACACACGCCCTGCACAAGAAGGCAAGAACAGGGAAAGGAACAACACACCTTGCACAAAAAAACAGTGTATGTTTACATAATGTGTACAAGAAAGCAAAAACCAAATACTGCAACACACGTGCTCATACAGGAGGCCAAGCAAGAATTACAAATCATCATCCCTCACTGCAGTGCGCGAGTGCGCTGCGGGCTTCAGAAAGGAGCCAGCGCGCGGCAACGCACCCGCCCGCCTTAAGCAGCAAGCAACCCGTGGCTAGGTGCCAAAGGCCATCACGCTAGCGCTTCAGGCACGAGCACCACAGGGCTCAGCACACTAGGTGCCAGCGCCCAAGTGTTAGAGCCCCCTACGCGAGCGTGCTAGGCACTAGGTCGCTAATTGCAAGCGGCCTAGATGAGCGTCTAAGGTGCCAACACCTTAGAAACCGGCACACTAAGCGCTAGTGCAGAAAGCGACACTTATTTGCATAAATAGCCCCAGTCGCCCAAGCACCAGCTAAAATTATACTAGTGCCTACGCCCCAGCATGCTCATGCACACTCTCACTCGCACACTCACGCGCTCTCTCACGCGCACCCTCATGCCCTCTCTCGCGCTCTCTCATGCGCTCTCTCACGGGCACTCTCACGCGCTCTCTCACGCGCTCTATCAAGGTGCACTCTCAGGCGCACTCTCCCGCGCGCTCTCTCGCGCTCTCTCTCCCGCACTCTCATGCACATTCTCTCTCTTACACGCTCTCTCACGCGCACCCTCATACGCTCCCTCACACTCTTTCTCACAAGCTCTCTCACGCGCACTCTCATGCGCTCTCTCACGCACATTATATCTCTCACAAGCTCTCTCACGCGCACCCTGTCACGCTCCCTCACACGCTCTCTCATGCGCTCTCTCACGGGCACTCTCACGCGCTTTCTGACGCGCTCTATCAAGGTGCACTCTCAGGCGCACTTTCACACGCTCTCTCTCGCGCTCTCTCTCCCGCAGTCTCACGCGCATTCTCTCTCTCTCTCACGTGCTTTCTCTCACGCACTCTAACGCACATTCTCTCTCTCACACGCTCTCTCACGCGCACCCTCACACGCTCCCTCACACGCTCTCTCGAGCGCTCTCACACGCACTCTCACACGCACTCTCACACGCACTCTCATACGCGATCTCTCACGCGCACTCTCACGCGCTCCCTCACGCGCTCTATTACGCTCTCTCACGCGCTCTCTCATGCGCTCTATCGCGCGCCCTCTCATGCAATCCCTCACGCACTCCCTCACGCGCTCTCTCAAGGTGCACTCTCAGGCACACTCTCACGCGCTCTCTCTCGCGCTCTCTCTCCTGCACTCTCACGCGCACTCTTACGCACCCTCTCTTGCGCTCTCTCTCCCGCATTCTCATGCGCATTCTCTCTCTCACGTGCTTTCTCTCGCGCACTCTCACGCACATTCTCTCTCTCACACGCTCTCTCACGCACACTCTCACACGCTCCCTCACACGCTCTCACACACGCTCTCTCATGCGCACTCTCACGCGCTCTCTCACGCACATTCTCTCTCTCACACGCTCTCTCACGCACACCCTGTCACGCTCCCTCACACGCTCTCTCACGCGCTCTCTCACGTGCACTCTCACGCGCTCTCTGACGCGCTCTATCAAGGTGCACTCTCAGGCGCACTCGCACACGCTCTCTCTCTCGCTCTCTCTCCCGCACTCTAACGCACATTCTCTCCCTCACGCGCTCTCTCAAGGTGCACTCTCACGCACACTCTAACTTGCTCTCTCTCGCGCTCTCTCTCCTGCACTCTCACGCGGACTCTCACGCACCCTCTCTCACACTCTCTCTCCCGCACTCTCATGCGCATTCTCTCTCTCACGTGCTTTCTCTCGCGCACTCTCATGCACATTCTCTCTCTCACATGCTCTCTCACGCGCACTCTCACACGCTCCCTCACACGCTCTCTCACACGCTCTCACACACGCTCTCTCACGCGCACTCTCACGCGCTCTCTCACGCACATTCTCTCTCTCACACGCTCTCTCACGCGCACCCTGTCACGCTCCCTCACACGCTCTCTCACGCGCTCTCACACGCGCTCTCTCACGCGCACTCTCACGCGCTCTTTATCGCGCTCTATCAAGGTGCACTCTCAGGCGCACTCTCACACGCTCTCTCACGCTCTCTCTCCCGCACTCTCACGCGCATTCTCTCTCTCAGAGTTTTCTCTCGCGCACTCTAACGCACATTCTCTCTCTCACACGATCTCTCACGCGCACCCTGACACGCTCCCTCACACGCTCTCTCAAGCGCTCTCACACGTACTCTCACACACTCTCACACGCGCTCTCTCACGCGCACTCTCACGCGCTCTCTCACGCGCTCTCTTGCGCTCTCTCACGCTCTCTCTCATGCGCTCTATCACACGCCCTCTCATGCGAACCCTCACGCACTCCCTTACGCGCTCTCTCAAGGTGCACTTTCAGGCACACTCTCACGCGCTCTCTCTCGCGCTCTCTCCTGCACTCCCACGCGCACTCTCACGCGCTCTCTCTCGCGCTCTCTCTCCCGCACTCTCATGCGCATTTTCTCTCTCATGAGCTTTCTCTCGCGCACTCTCACACACATTCTCTCTCGCACGCTCTCTCACGCGCACCCTCACACGCTCCCTCACGCGCTCTCGCACGCGCTCTCTCACACGCACTCTCACACGCTCTATCACGCACTCTCTCACAATCTCCCACACTCTCTCACGCGCTCTATCACGCGCCCTCTCATGCGCTCCCTCACGCACTCTCACGCGCTCTCTCTCAGGCACACTCTCACACACACACTCTCTCTCTCTCTCTCTCGCGCTCTCTTTCGCGCACTCTCACCACATTCTCTCTCTCACGCGCTCTCTCTCGCGCACAATCACACGCATTCTCTCTCTCTCTCTCTCTCTCTCTCTCTCTCTCTCTCTCTCTCTCTCTCTCTCTCTCTCTCTCTCTCTCTCTCTCTCACGCTCTCACACGCTCACATGTGCTCTCTTATCCGCTCTCTCACGCGCTCTCACGTGCTCTCTCACGCGCCCTCTCACGCGCTCCTTCACGCGCCCTCTCACACGCTCTCTCATGTGCACACGCTCTCCCTCGCGCTCCATCTCTTTCTTCTTGAAATGAAAGTACAATGCAAGAGGAGACCAATCGACACACAGAAAAGGAATAAAAAAAAAAAAAAAAAAAAAAAAAAAAACGAAAATTTCAGAGGGGGGGAGGGAGGACGGAAGGACCGGGAACGCACCTGATAACCACGGTGCCTGAGAAAACAAGTCGCGCTCGCGCACCAACCCGCGCTTGCGCTCGTGCACCTGTCGCCAGAGGCGACGGCGGAGAGGGAAGGAGAGGCGACGGCGGGGAGTGGGGAGAGGCGAACGCGACGGCGAGGAGGAGGGAGACGCGACAGCAAAGAGGAGGGAGACGCGACGGCGAGGAGGAGGGAGACGCGACGGCGGGGAGGAAGGAGCGGCGACGGCAGGGAGGAGGGAGAGGCGAAGGCGGGGAGGAGGGAGAGGCGACGGCGGGGAGGAGGGAAAGGCGACTCGGCGGGGAGGAGTGAGAGGCGACTCGGCGGGGAGGAGTGAGAGGCGACGGCGGGGAGGTAAGGGAGAGGAGATGGCGGGGAGGAGGGAGAGGCGACGGCGGGGAGGAAAGAAAGGAGACGGCGGGGAGGACTTAGAGGCGACGGCGGGGAGTTAAGGGAGAGGAGATGGCGGAGTGGGACGGAGTGATAGTGAGGTGGGTTGGAGAGGTGACGGCGGGTAGTGAGGGAGAGGATACGGCGGAATGGGAGCGAGAGCGACGGCTGGGTGGGAGAAAAACCGGAGAAATTTGGGTGGGGGGGAGGAAAAGGAGGAAGAGCAGAGCTAGTGCTTGTCGAGAGGAACCAAGAACAAGAATCAACAAGAAAAGGCAGCGCAGAATTGGAGTTGACAGTTGCGGCAGAGACGGATACCAGCACAGAACAAGGGCATCGGGGAAACACCGGACAGCGCAGAAAAAATCTGCCAGCGCAGTACAGAACAAAGGCATGTGGTTCTACGCCACCCAACGGTATTCATCTAGCGGACACATCAAGATACACTACAAACGCCTAACCGGCTATAGTAACCTGATTGAACATTAGATTAAGTAGTTTGCAAAAACAATTCATGTTTACTACAATCACAAAAAGAACATCAATGTCAAAAAGTTTCCATCATAAATAACACTCAAAACAAATTTCAAGGAAGAAAAATATATAGAGAATTTTAAAGGAACTATATGTTTTACGTAAAATTGAGAAACTTAATAAAATACTTCTATGACCAAAATATAGTTGTAATGTACTCTATAACAAAGTTTCTTATTCACAGAATACAGCTCTACGCAACCCGTTCGACGTAAACGTCGTGGCTTGTGTTTGTTACAACCAGGAAAGCCTTCGCTGAGTTCCCCCCACCCACCTTGCCCCCTCAGTTCCCCCGCGCCCCCTCCAGACCAACTTCGAGCCTCTTGTCGCACGGTTGATGTGGTGCTGTGCTGTCCGCCCACCATTCAGCCGAGGGGCAACAGAACAGGGCCACCGGTGAAGGTCCCAGTCGATGTCGGCAATTGGTTCGGATGACGTCAGCAACAGGAACCGTCGCTGGAACCTTCACTCACTTTCCCCGGCCTTCCTCCACAAGATGACTGCAGACAAGGCATTTCCTGGAGCACGAGGGGGATGGAATTAGTCGAGCTGGACGTTTTTGAGTGGGGCGTGTGCGGCTGGGCTGGTAGGGCTACGTGACAGAAAGTTCATACGCGCCCTGTCGGGAAAACACGGGCGATTGCGGGATCGCTTCCGCGTGCTCGCGGAAGGGAGTTGTCCGCGGGCAGAAAAAAACTAAAACCCGCTCGGAAGGCATGCGGTTCGGGAGCATCAACGCATCACGTGGCATGCCTACCAGTGGCAGTTCAGCTAACGGCCAAGAGCATCCGTACGGTGAAGTAGTTTAGGGTTTCATGCGCCCGCAAGATGCGGCAGGATGTTAGGATGACGCGGCAGCCGTACACCAAACATGCCGCGTTTTCCTTATCTGACTCTTAATCGCGTCCATACCGCTTGATGCACACTCAGCTAAGGGTGTGTGAGTTCTTGCGTTTTCACGGTCAGCCGACGGCCGTTCGCGCAAAGATTCAAAGGGTATCCCGCCTCGCCACAACTCGTCGTCGAATACAATGCGAGTTTTCAAGAAACAGAATCTTATGAAAATCTTCTCGCGAATGACCGTGCGGACCGTGAAAAAAGATGTGACCGCGCTAAGTTACGGTCAAATGTCTGACATAGCAGGCGCTTCGATATCCAACTGCCTCTGCTCCTTGCGCTGTCTGCCTTCACATCCTCCGTGCAAGAGTCTGCCGCGTCTAGTAGATAGGTTCGCGCCAGCCATCGATGCCCCTTGCCTGAGTATACGGGTGACAGCTTTACGCGGCCCAGCCAGCGCAGACCTGCGGCGATGACAAGTGGTTCAGTGCAAGCATGATGCTTTCTGAGTCTGGGGAGAAGTGGTTAAAGTAAAGGGGTCGATCTGTCAAACATCTATCTTATAGCCTATTTAGGCTGTAGTGGGGTAGACACTAAGGGGTACAGTTTGCTAGAGTTTCATACTTCTACCCAACTCATTTCCTAGTCAATCATTCTTGTTTCTTCACATGGTATAGAGCGGGTTCCCTAGTGGGACCGTTTCTTCCTAGGGCCCACCATCGATTTTTTTTTTTTTCCTCACCTGTCCGAAGCGCGCTTCGCGCTCTGCCCTGCCCTACCCATTCGCGGCCCCTTATCGGCCTGCCCTGCCCCTTAGCGGCCCCTGCCCCTTAGTCGCGGCCCCGCCCTGCCCTTGGCGCGGCCCCTACGTCGCGGCCCCGCCCTGCCCTTGGCGCGGCCCCGCCCTACCTTCGGTGCGGCCCCGCCCCTACGTCGCGGCTCCGCCCTGCCCTTGGCGTGGCCCTGCCCTACCCTCGGCGCGGCCCCGCCCCTACGTCGCGGCCCCGCCCTGTTTTCAGCGCGGCCCCGCCTCACCTTTGGCGCGGCCCCGCCCTGTCTACGGCGCGGCCCCGCCCTGTTTTCGGAGCAGCCCCGCCCGGTCTTCGGCGCGGCCCCGCCCTTTCGTAGCGGCCCCGCCCTGCTTTTGGCGCAGCCCCGCCCTGTCTACGGCGCAGCCCCGCCCTTTCTTCGGCGTGGCCCCGCCCGGTCTTCAGCGCGGCCCCGCCCTGTCTTCGGAGCGGCCCCGCCCTGTCTTCGGCGCGGCCCCGCCCCTTCGTTGCGGCCCCGCCCCTACTTCGCAGCCGCCTGCGGTCGAGTCGCGGCCCTGCCCTACCGCCCTGTTGCGGCCCTGACCCTGCCGACGCATCACGGCCCTGCCCCGCCAGTAGCGGCCGCCTATCCACCCGCCCCTGGTAAGCGCACTGCCGAGCCGCGCCACCCTGCCGAGCCGCGCCGCCCTGCCGCGCCGCGCCGCCTAGCCGAGTCGCGCTATTGCTGCTGCTGCTAGCCTCCTGCTGCTGCTGTCATGGCTAGTCCCAATGTTCTTACCTTCGATGCTGAGGGTCGAGCGGTCGACTTTGAGGTGTGGGTAGATGATCTGCACCTTTTCCTCCAGTGCGATAGCAAGGATGGTCTCTCACTGTTTGATCTCACGTCTGGCGCCTCTGCTGCCCCTGCTGCTGATGCTGACAGTACTGTTCGCTTGCAGTGGACCACGCGCGATGCTGCTGCCCGCCTTGCTGTGCGTAGTCACCTGCCGTCTTCTGAGCGCGCGCACTTTAGTCAGTACAAGAGTGCTAAGACTCTGTACGACGCTGTAGTTGCACGCTACTCCTCCCCTGCCACTGCTGCCCTTAGTCGCCTCATGCTACCGTACCTCTTCCCTGACCTCGCTGCCTTTGCCACAGTTGCTGACCTCATTACGCACCTCCGCATTAGTGACGCCCGCTACCGCACTGCGCTTCCTGCTGAGTTCTGCGCCAAGAACCCCCCCCCCCCATGTACATCACCCTTTACTACCTAGTCACCCGGCTCCCTGACTCCCTTCGCTCGGTCAGGGACCACTTCCTCTCTGTTTGCCCCACCACACTCACCGTTGACCTTCTCGAGGAGCGCCTCCTTGCAGCTGAGAAGAGTATAGACGCTGTAGGAGCCTCCCGTGGTGACCCTCGTGCCCGTTTCTTTGAGGGGTGCTCCCCCGTCCCCCTTTTGCCCTCTGTTGCCTCTGCTGCTGCTATCGACCTCGTTAGCACCGAGTCGGTCGGCACTGCGTCTGCTCCTAGTGGGAGGCGCCGCACCGGCAAGGGCAAGGGGGGCAAGGGTGCTGGAGGAGCTGGCGGGGGCGGCGGTGGTGGCGGTGGGGGCGGCGGAGGGGGTGGGGGAGTGGGTGGTGGTGGGGGTGGGGGCGCAGGTGGCGGCGGTGGAGGTGGAGGCGGCGGCGGTGGCGGTGAAGGTGGAGCTGGTCGGGGTGGAGTTGTGCAGAGGGGAGACTCTGGTGGTGGTCAGCGCCAGCAGCAGCACCAGCGCTCTCGTGAGACCCCGTCGCCCCAGCAGCTTCGTGAGTGGTACGCTGCGCGCCAGCGTTCTGGGGGTGCTGGTCCCTGTGCCTATGTCCTGCGTACAGGTGACCGCACTGGGGAGCCATGCGGTGGGCCGCACGCCACCCAGCGCTGCTTCGGCCGCCTGACGGACGCCTGGCGTCTCCAATTCCCTGACGCCACTGAGATCCCTCGCTGGGGTGATCTGCTCAAGTCGGGTGTAGCTATCTTTGATCTTGATTATGATGCTATTCTTGCTGCCATGTATGCTGTGTCTACTAGTGCTGAGGGTGACTGTTACCTGTGTGTTCCGCCTGACCCGGGCATTGAGGCTGCTGCTCTAGGTGCTAGTGAGTTTGCTGCTCCAGGTGCTGGTGAGTCTGCTCTCTCAGGTACCGCGTCAGCTCAGGTTGTGCATGTCAGAATGTTATTATTGTCCAGCCTGCAGTGGGGTACTCCATAGCGAGTACAACTCCTTAGGGTTTCCTATATGTATCCTGCTGCTTGCTAGTGAACTTCCCTCCTTTGCTCATTTCTCTCTTGCCTAGCTAGGTAAACCCTAGCTATGGCTCCTACTTGTGCCTACTATTCTAACAGTGCACACCTTCACCCTTGACTCGGGTGCTTCCCGCTCCTTCTTTCGAGACCGCACCACCCTCACGCCGCTTAGTCGGCCGGTTGCAGTCTCCCTGGCAGACCCCTCTGGGGGTCCTGTCCTTGCCCGCTACTCCACTGTCCTACCGTGTCCGGCAGCCCCTTCTGGCTCCCTGTCATGTCTTTACCTCCCCTCGTTCTCTACGAACTTGGTGAGTGGTGCTGACCTACAGGATGGAGGGGTTCACCAGTTCACTCCTGCGAGTCAGAGAGTGACCCACTGTACGTGTGCTCGGACGGGCCGACACTTGGCCACGTTTACCCGTCAGCCGGGGTCGAGCCTGTACACACTCACTACCGAGTCTCCTCCGGCTCCTGCGTCTGGTCAGGTAGCTGCGTCGGGTCAGGTGTTGCTGCAGCGTCCAGGTCTGGTCCTGAGTCTGCCCCCTGCTCGTGTCGTCTCCTGTCTCACAAGACTCTCCTCTGGCACCACCGCCTTGGTCACCCCTCCCTGCCTCGTCTCCGAGGCATGGCTTCTCGTGTCCTTGTCTCTGGTCTCCCCCGGTCCCTCCCTCCCCTTCCTCCGGGGCCTGCCCCTACCTGCGTTCCCTGCGTCGAGGGGCGGCATCGCGCCGCTCCTCACTCCTCCGAGTTCCCTCTGTGAAACAACGAGGAATGGATTGACTAAGGGAAAGTTGGGTACAAAAGCAAACCCCAGAAAACTGTACCCCATATGTGCTACCCCACTATAGCCTACAGTAGCTATGTCATATGAATCTGACACACCCCCATAGGCAAAGTGGGGGAGAACAAGGGGTCACAAGACCAGTCAAGCAAAGCAAAGCAAGCTCAGGGTGGATCACAAAGTCACCACACATTCCGAGCACAAGTTC